TGATCACAAATCAGTGGTGTCAATGAACTTGTTCGTTGCACTTCTTTGCGCATGTATTGTGATCGGTCATTTACTGGAGGAAAATCGCTGGATGAACGAGTCAATCACGGCTCTAGCTATTGTGAGTTTCTATATATTTTACAATAAAATATTCTTAAGGAGATTGAAATGGTGAAATTGAACTTGACTTTGATGAGCTTGTGGCAGGGTTTGGGTACCGGTGTTGTTATTTTGCTGACAACTAAAGGAAAGAGTTCGCATCTCATGGTGTTTAGTGAAGATTTGTTCTTCATTTATCTTCTTCCACCTATTATATTTAATGCAGGGTGAGTTGGGTAATACATAATGCCACTTCGTTTCTCCTTGTCAGTTACACTTGTTTTAATTTGGAGATAACATCTTAATTACCCACATCTACCTTAATTTTTTCATTAAGCTGGATTTTACTGATGATTTTTCAGTTTGACATGTCTTCTTATATAACTGTGTGTCACATAATAGCTATTATCTAAACAGACATCAAGGGTGCTGCTAGATTACTATCTTAGAATAAAGTTTTCTTAATAAAAAAACGGAGGTTCTTACTATACTTCAATTTTATTAGATCACGTGAAAGCTCAATAAACAGTTGTAATAGAAGGAACTATCTGGTTTGAACTAGTAAAGAAAAAAATAGATTTATCTAAACATTTGGTTTATCTACCACAGAACAATGTAATTGAGTTTCAATGCCGTGGAAGCCAATTGAAACATAAATTAGTTTGTGCCATTTTCCATTGAAAATAAGAGCCCTAGGGTAATTTACTTTTCATCTCCATTTTTCTGCTGCTACCGACGCATTATGTTTTCGGTTGACAATATATTAGTGAAACAACCAAAATTTGTTTATTGGTCAAATACATAAGTCAGTGATGATGGTTGATCCTTCTCTGCATACCAGGTTCCAGGTGAAGAAGAAGCAATTTTTTCGCAACTTTATGACCATCATGCTATTTGGGGCAGTTGGCACTCTTATATCTTTTGTAATCATATCATTAGGTATGCTCAAAAACTTGATGGATTCATCTATTTTGTTTCTTTGCTTGTGTGCAGAAATTAAAAGAAGTCTGGCTCACCAATCACGCTTTATCAAAACTATCTTGTAGCTCTATTTATATGGATTGACCATGCATGAAAATTCCACCAAGTGATTATTGGCAATTCGTTATTGCAGCCTGTGCATTTTGATATAATAAAAGGGATCCAGTAGGCTTGATACACATTTTCTATTTTTCTTTATTAAACTACAGAACTATATAAAATGGCCCCTCACTTTTGTTCACTGGTTTCTTGACAACTAAATGAGTTTTGTCACGTTTTTTTTTCAAAACTCCAACTTCAAAGGGAAGAGAATTGATTTGTACAGCACTCATACGAGCTATTCACAGATGAAGGAACTCAATGATTTCTTTTGTTCTCCATTCTTTATTGATGTTTATAAATGAAGAAGGAAACCATTGCATCAAAGATCCTTATAAATATGAATGCATGCCATATATCAATGTTCATTGTTTTAGAGTTATTTTCACTAAAGCTTATTTGTTAATGCGTTCTTCCATATTTTGACCCAGGTGCTATACACTTTTTCAAGAAAATGAACATTGGTACCCTCAAAATAGGAGATTATCTTGGTATAGTCAATTCCAATTTATATATATAACACTTCTTTTGTCTTGCAATATTTGGATAAAATCCTTCTTGTTTACTCATCTTGTCCCTTAATTGCAGCAATTGGAGCAATATTTGCTGCTACAGATTCAGTTTGTACCTTGCAGGTATAGTGCCATGCAAAGTGTTGTCATGTTGCAACTTAAGCTGAATAACACTGCTAAGTTCAATTATCTATATGGTGCAGGTTCTGAATCAGGATGAGACGCCTTTATTGTATAGTCTGGTGTTCGGGGAAGGTGTGGTAAATGATGCCACATCTGTAGTTCTTTTCAATGCAATCCAGAGCTTTGACCTCTCTCACATCAACTCAAGCATAGCTTTGCAATTTGTTGGAAATTTTTTGTATTTATTTATTGCAAGTACAATGCTGGGGGTTCTGGTAAGTCCCTACACTTTCGTTTGTTCGTGCTTGCTTGTGATTTAGTATATTTATTTGTAGGACTTTTTTCTTTGTGTCATGCAGGCTGGACTGCTTAGTGCATTCATTATCAAAAAACTGTATATGGGCAGGTTTGTACATAGGTGTCATATTGGTCTTTTGCAATGTCTTTGTTTAGGGAACATTGAGGTACCTAATCACTGTTAAATGGATCCAAAAATGTAGAACAGATTATTTGCCAATCAAATTATTTATGTGTAAATGATATCTCCTTGCCATCAGTCATCCTGACTTCTTCTTTCCTTATAAGAGATGATGGAGTCTGAGGTCCTAGGTTCATTCCCACTTGAGTGTCTGAGTATTATTTCTTGGCAATTAATTGAAAAAAAAATACAATTGAATAGGATATATGTTCCTCTATTTCCATCATCTTTGTCATTTTACCTACTTCTTTTCTTCTTCTAATGGTTCCTTATAGTTATTTTATGTCAACATTACATGTGTAGAAAATCAATATATCAAGTTTACATGTGAACCTTATGTTATTTTTAGGAAGTGTTTTAATGCCTTTTATTTTCTAATAAACACCAGGCACTCTACCGATCGTGAGGTTGCTCTGATGATACTCATGGCTTACCTTTCATATATGCTGGCCGAAGTAAGATTTTTAGCAACTTGTTGGACACTTATCTTTTTATGCTTTCCTGGTTCTATTTCTGGTTTTGCAGTTTGAAAATATAATAGTGATGGTAATTTGGTTTTGACTTGCAGTTATTCTATTTAAGTGGCATTCTCACTGTATTTTTTTGTGGGATTGTTATGTCACACTACACATGGCATAATGTGACTGAAAGTTCAAGAGTAACAACCAAGTATGTAAATCTCAAGTCTTGTAATTAACAATTGGAATGTATAGGTTCGTTGCTGTTTTGTTACAAGGGAATGTCAGGGAAGCTGCCATGTTTATAATATCTCATTGCTCCTTACCACTATTGCAGGCATGCTTTTGCCACTCTGTCATTTGTTGCAGAGATCTTTATCTTCCTTTATGTTGGCATGGATGCCTTGGACATTGAGAAGTGGAGGGTTGTAAGTGATAGGTGAGGTTACACATAAAAGAAACTTAGTAGCTTTGACGCTTCTGTAGAACGTATGAAATAACTTAGAATGTGCTGATCAATATTTTATCTTTAACTGAACGTGGGATAATACTTTTTTCTTTTCTATTTTCCTTCACAGCCCTGGAAAATCTCTTGGCGTAAGTGCAGTACTGTTGGGACTGGTACTTGTTGGGAGAGCGGCTTTCGTTTTCCCCTTGTCCTTTTTATCCAACTTGACCAAGAAATCTCCATGCGAGAAAATTGGCTTGAAGCAACAAGTAAGAGTTTTGATCCACTCTTAACTTTATTGTTCCACTATCCCTTAATAACATGATGTGACGCCTTTATGGATTTCTGTTTTGCAGGTTACCATTTGGTGGGCTGGTCTTATGCGTGGGGCTGTTTCCATGGCACTTGCTTATAATCAGGTATGACATTGAAAAGTATCCTTCTCCAATGACCAAAAACTAAAATTAGTTTCATTTTTTCTAATTTACCCTTGACCTCTGAACTAGTTTCATTTTACGGCTTTTTCTGTAGGTGCAATAATTAGGATAAATAATACTACTCTAGTGTTAAATTACCAAATGTTTGAATAAACTACATCTTAAAATCGATAGACTTCGCAATTATGGATTTGATTTGATCTAAGAAACCTGAGTTATTATGTGTTAAAGTCGTATTATTTGGTAGCGAATTTACATTAGTGGACGAAAGAAACAGTCGGATTATTTGATTAACTCCTTGTTATGCATGCAGTTTACCAGTTCAGGGCATACTAAGTTGCATGGGAATGCGATCATGATCACCAGCACAATCACCGTTGTTCTTTTCAGCACAGTTGTAAGTCATTGTCTCATCCTAAAACACGAAAGGAAGCCTACAGCCTACAGTAAGAGGCCATTAAACTTTTATTGTCGCATTTATGCAGGTGTTTGGGTTGATGACTAAACCACTGGTGAGGATTTTGCTTCCTTCCTCAAAAACCTTATCCAGGATGGAGTCTTCTGAGCCATGTACTCCAAAATCCTTCATTGTGCCACTTCTTGGGAACAGACACGACTCAGAAGCCAACCACAAAAACGAAAATGTGCCTCGTCCAACTAGCTTACGGATGCTCTTGAGCACCCCGTCTCACACTGTTCATCACTATTGGCGGAAATTCGACAATTCCTTCATGCGGCCGGTGTTTGGTGGCCGAGGCTTTGTACCTATAGTTCCTGGCTCACCGCTTGAACAAACTGTTAATCAATGGCAGTGAGAAGGGAATTCAAACAACAAAGGCACTAATTTATAGTAACTTGTAGCTTGGGCTTGAGAGTGAGCGGCTTTGAGTGTGCCATTTTGTTAATAGTAAAAGGATTTTGGAGGCGGGGTTTTGACAGCATTTTGATTGGGTGTGGCAGCAGCGGCAGCAGCAGCTTGCAATTTGATTTGATTGTGGGGTGATTCTCAAGTTTTGCGGTCTATATTGGTTGCCAACGAGATTGTATTCCTAACAGTAAGGTTCCTACTAATTTTTGTATTGATTGTAATCCAATAGTATATGAATTTTGATTATCCAGTGATTTCTCAAATGCCTAAAGTAGCTTTATCATGATAGTTGTTTTCATGGAGTTGCCTGAATCCGCAAAATCGACTGCAACAACTTAGCTAATCTCTAATTTTTCAATTGAGAGATCAGTTCTTTTTAGTTTTTACATGCAAACCTCAGCAAGTTTATACATCACATATCACATACAATGAAGCCACATTCCTGGTGTTAGAACATCACAATTGAAAGGCCTTTTGCACAACAAAAGACTTGTTTTCTATTGATGGCTGAGGTATCCCACTACAAAACTGATAAGAGCGACCATGCAAACATAGAGCAAGGGGAAACCGACCTGAACTGTTCTCACTGTATTTTTCCTTCCCGGCAACACTTCCTGCAAATAGGAAAAGGCAAATATCAGAATATCTTTGTTTGACAAACAAATGAAAGGAGCGTCAGATACAAGAAGATTTTAGCCTAAGTAGGAGGTACAACACCGAAGAAACAACACTATAAACTTCTTTTATCAACTCCTCTTGTTAGCTCAAAATATCATCAAAAAAATTCTTCTATGGCTAGCAGGGAAACACTTCTGAAATTTTTAACCTTTAAAAAGCGTTTCGAAACAATAATAATAGTAATAATAACACAAATAGAGGCAGTAGCAGAAGAACACTCACTAATTCATGCTTAAGCATATCCTTCTCTCGAGTGGCAAAGCTACTCTCTTCTGTCAGCTTCTTGATGGTATGTTCAGCCTGCAGTGAATTCCACACTCTTCGTTACAGTCTTATTTAGAAATTTAAGAATAAAAGGCCACTAGAGTGGCATTTACCAACTTTCTGGCAATGCCAACCATTGGATTGGTTCACAAAACTGTGAAATTATGCACCATCAACCAAACCAATGGTTAACACTGATCTGATGATATATCATTGCCCCACCACCCATATTCACACGAAGGAAAATGCAGGCAACTTCCTAACACATTAATAAAGGAATTCAATCTTCAAATCAGGGCATGAAACAGAGAGTTATCATCCTAGCCAAGGATCAGACAACAGACGATAGGCTTCGTTCATTTTGATGAAACTATGTTTGTCATCAAAATGAAGGAAAAACACTTGTGTCAGAATCCAGAAACACATGCAAACAATACAGATGTTCACCATAAAATTTGATATTTTGTGATAACTTTTTCACTATAGCCAAATTCTAAATGATTCGAGGAAAATGTTATTACTTTCCCAACAAGTACTAAAGGAGTTACATGCCTAAATTACTTGTTTGAGAAGATAAACAGCCAAAAAGTGGGTGGTTAACATTTCCAGGTTGTGTACTACAATGTTAAACCCAAGATGAAAGAAACAAACCTCTCTTAACCGTGAATCTGCTAGATTTAGTTTTGACTTCAACTGCTCAAAATCCTTTGCCAACTTCAGTTCCAGTATGTCTTTCTCTGGTTTCAATTCCTCTACAACCTTTACAGGCCTTGAGGGCACGTCCTCAGCTGATCTCCATCCATTGTTATCCTTTCCCATTTCCAACCCCTGCACATCCTTGGTTGGTCTTAACTCATCTGTGACCTTAGCAGTTTCAGGGCCCTCCACATCATCAGCTACCTGTCATGAAACAAAAGAAAAATGGTGACATGATGAACCTTATTGTAAGTAGTATATGCTTAACTGCAAAAGAAATTTTGTTATGATTCTTACACATGAAAATGTATTAAAAAGGAAACTTCATATTCAAGCAAAAATACGGATAACAACAGTAGGCACAGATGTGGCATAATAACACATAATTAGACCCGCATTCCCATGAACAATACAACAGTTGCGACTGAATATAACTCAGGCATAAACTGCAGGATAGTGAAGATACTTGATAAGAGAGAAAGAGACCGTGGGAGGGAACGATGCTCTATCAAAAATATATCTCTAAACAAAGGAAAAACAATTTACGTTATTGCCTGGAGGTATGTTCTCGACTCCAGTCAGTGCTACATCCTTCAGCATTGATGTTTCCTGTAATGGATCTTGCTTTAATTCTCCATTTCTTGGTAACAAAATGGGCGATTGGGGTGGGCTAATAAGGACCACTCGTAGCTTCTTCTCATCAATGTATTTGCCACTATCTTTTGCAAACTGCCAGATGACAAAAATGAATAAATACAAATTACAGATAAACTAAAAGAACAAGAACTTTCAATATTTTACCATATCAGATGTAATGTCCTCATCAGTTGTCCCAAAGGGGACCACTGTGCTTTGAATAAGGAACTTGTCTTTGCACAGAAAATCTGGTGGAGCTACACGCTGAGCTTGCATAGTAACTGCACCAAAATTTAACTTTAAGCAATGCAAGCGACAATTAAGCAGGACAAGGGCAGGATAGGAATAAATACCTGCAAAATCATATGTTGCTTTTGGCTTGATGATACCTACATTGGGTCTCACACAATATTTCTTTGGAGAGGTAGTCTTTACCTGCCAATACATTTTGTAAATGAACAAGTCATTCCTTCAATGTATGTTGTTAAACCCAAAGATTCTAAGCTTGTACATACTCTCATGATGGTACATTTGGATAGATGTAAAATTGCAGTAAAAATATGAGAGCATACGAGGAAGAAATTTTTGCCAAATAAAATTACCAAAGAAACAGTAAACTAGACTTAAAACTGAAACAACAAAATCTATTGAATAATTTACGTGATAAATCATCCGCACCTTAAAAGCAACATACTGATCAGACTTATTGCCAAGTTGAATTGAGCATGAACTTTGTTTCTTCACCTCAACTAAAGAGAGAAGGAGAGCATGTCAGTCTAGCCAATATTACAATGCATAATAAAAAGAAAGAAACCACAAAGCATCCTGCACAAGTTACAGGATCCTCAAGACATCACTTTCTAGCACAAGTATATAGTATCCACAAAACAATAATCATGCGCCCGAAATTAGGATAGAACCATCCATTAACAATGGTAGAAAAGTCCAATTGTTAATATAATCCCCTTCAGAGTCTTCAGAGAAGGAGTATGACTATTAAAACAAAAAGATGTTAATAACATTGGGAGCATGAAAGAGTATTTAATTTAAAATTGTTCCCCAAGCAGTACCTAAACTTACACCCCAACTGAGATATCAATTTCATGTTTTTATCAACAAGCCATAACATGAAAACCATTAAAATTAAGATTTAAAACCATGATAAAGGGAAAAACAAAACACAGTAACCCTTCACTTCCAGCTCATTGGATACCAACAAACAACAAAATTTTAAAATTAAAAAAAAAAAAAAAAAAAAAAAAGGGACATGGGAATGTCAGCATTCTTAAATACTTACATGTAAACTTGAGTTCAAGTGGTTGAATTTCCAATAGCTCTTGAGCCATAACTGTACCTGAACAAGAAACCAAACGAAGCAAATCACTGAATTTAAAGTACAGATCCAACTAAACCCCACCAGCAGTACATTATATACATAGATTTTTTGAAGCAACTAAACTTAAAACAGAACATGCCCATCAATGTTTCTGAAAGAAAGAAACAGAGTAATGGAGCTTACGTGACGTGTTTGTAATTGTAGCTGAAAAGAAGGAAGAAAGAGGAGTTAACGTGAGAGGATATGAAGGTAAAAACAGTTGGTGATCTGAAACATGATTTGAAATTGCATAAGAAGTGAAATAAAAGCAAAAGAGGCAAGAAAGAAATGTGAATGGTGGTGTTGGTTACGTGGGTCTCTTTGTCAGAGCAGTTTGTTGTACCCGCTCTGCCCTCTTTGTCACCGCTTGCTACTACTGCATTTGCGTTTGGGTTTAGTTTGGTTTTAATGGCTCGGCTCCATTGCAACCAAAAGCCACTCAACTTTGCCGACACCATTAAAAGTAGATTTTGAATAAATCCAATACCACATTCCACCGATCTTTCCAGCCGAATAAAAAGTTGTTTGACATTAAAAGTAGAGTCTTTAATTTTTTTTTTTTTTTTTTTTTTTTTAGCTAAATGGACATTAATTTCCCTAAAGTTTATTAAATAATAAAAACTTTCCTCGAAATAATATAAATTCCCATAATGTTAAAGTATTAAACAATTAAAATAGAGACAATTACTCAAGAAGTATTGAGTTTGATCCACCTTAACTATTAATAAGAATGGTCATTGAAAACTTATCTGATCGTTGCTTCAAAACTGGGGATTAGTTAAGGTGTCGTTAATAGGAATTGTCATTAGAGACTTACCCGATCGTTATCCTTAAAACTGTGGGATTAGTTAAGATGTTACTAATAGGGGTGGTCACTGGAGACTTATCTAATCGTTAACTTCAAGGCAAAAGGATTAATTAAGGTGCGAGCAAGTTGACTCAAACACCTCCAGTCATAAAAAAAAAAAAAAAATAGAGGGTAAGAAAGTAATTCGCTAACTATGTATAAACTCATAATAATGTATATTCTAATATGGTTATTAACAATAGGAGAATTTTTATTATTTTCGAAATTTCATTATATCAAACCCTAAGACCTCAATGTCTTTAACTTTTATCTATAGATAAATATTCCTTTATGAAAATTTGGACAATAAAGTATGAGGTACTTACATAATATTAATGTTGTTAAAATTGGTACAGCAAAATTATAACCAATAAAATGCCAAGACGTAGCGTTTAAGAAAAATGGAAAGTGATTGCTGTATTAATCTTTCGTCTCACTCATACAAAACTCTAAATCAAAATGGACCAATTTTAAGATTTATTATTTGATTTTACAAATAAAAGCTTGATCCTTTAGAATATGGGCCTAAGGCTTTTTAGCCGAGCCAATGGACCCAACTTTACTTTTTGAAATTTAAAATTTAAAATTTTCAAAACAAAATTAATTATTTAATTAATACTCACCGAAAGTACCCACCAAAAACTTTTCACATAAACAAACAAACATTTAAAATTCAAATTCCACCCTAGCTGGCATCATAAATGGTAACACATCTCAAACATTTTTTTTTTTTTTTTGAAATATTTATCTCTTTTCAAATAAATTACAACAATATACAACGACTCTCCCACCATAAACTAAATCTAATATAAAAATAAACCGTAAATAAGTAATACTATACTTACAATTCAATCTCATAAATTTTCTTTCAAAACTCTGATATGATAGTTCCTTATTGATTTTTGATGAATTTTTTCACCCAACCAATTGCGAGTTGTCGGGTCAAGGTTATGAGAGAGAATTTATGAAATTTGATTGTGAGTTAATCTTTATTGATGGTAAATTACCTCAATTTATACAATAGAAATGCTAACGACAATCGCGATTATCCTTTTTCTATCACGTATTCACGTGTCAAAAATATATATAATATATTTTATTTTTTAATCGCATTCGCAATTATAGTGCTCGTAATCCTTTTTCCACAAATCATTACATGTTACTCCAAAGTCCAAATAACATTTGAGATTGTTGTCCTAATGTTGTATTGAAGGAAGGACTGTGCCTTCAATACAATAGAATGATAGATAACAAAAAGTAAATAAAACCTTTTAGGGTATTTATGATAAATATTTAAACTTTTAAGATCAATTTGATAACGGAAAAAGGTACTCGTGAATAGTTTTTAAATTTTAAGGGTTCATTTCGAAAAAGTACAAAACTTTTCATCAACTTGAAAGTTCAAACAGTAAAAGGTATCTACATAATCTCCTTTTAAAGATTCATAATATAATACATACATAATTATTTTAGTACAATCTAAGAGTTAAAAGATAATTAAAAAAATGATATCAAGAGGGGCTTTGACGTAACATTGATTGACTACTTCAATTATATATTTTCTATCATTTGTTAAAATAAAAAATGAACTGATTAAAAAAAAGGGATTCAAAGATTGCATAATCTATTATCTTATGATTATATACAGGTTGCATTATTTGCATAATCTATTATCTTTTATATATATATATATATATATATGAGTAATGCTACCATCACCGAAGATTTCGCATCAAATTTGTGTACCGAATGACGTAACAAAATTCTGATTGTTGATTTATTATCAATTAATATTAATAAACGGTTAAGATTTTATCACGTTATTCGATGCACAGATTCGATACGCAACCTTCGGTGGCTCTATCATTTTTCTATATATAAGATTATGATACGATTCTCCACTTGGTAGTTAATATAATTATATATATGACTATGATACAATCCTCCACTTGGTAGTTAATAGTTTATTATCACCAATTAATATTAAAAGACAAAAAAAAAAAAAAAAAATTCATTGGAAATTTTGAAATTTTATATTTTAAAATTTTTTATGATAGCTGATAGGTAAATTGTCATCTACATTTAAAAAAAATGTGATTAGTACTTAGTTTGTATCTGATTTGTGTACATATACACTTCAAAATGACGTTGTGAAACAAGTACTACATTTTAACTTTTCATACAAATTCAATTAATTTAACATCCCAAATCTATGAACAATGTTTAGATGTTAATATATTTTTTGGAGGTTGAATTGATGACATTTTCTAAACTAGCGGGTGGTCATTGTAAAAAAAGGCTAAACACACGAAAGGATAGGTCGCATTTCTAAAACCAACAAATTCTCACAACAAAAAAAAGATCAAACACACGAGGGTTTGGGTCACAGTTTTTAGACCAACGAATGCTCACAAGAAAAAATGACAAACACACGAAGATTAGGGTCACGTTTTTGAAACTAGTAAATACTCACTATAAAAAGGTCACATACACGGGGCTTTCCTGTCCTATAAAAGAATCCCTCTTATTTACACTTATTTTAAATCATAATCGTGAATTAGGACTTGTATTATAAAGTCATTTCAAATGTGTGACACCCACGTTTATTATAACATATTTTTGTATTTTAAAATAATTTCTTCAAGAAAATAATGTATTAAAAGTAGGTAGATCCCTTAATTAGGTAAAAGAAAATTGTACCAAAAGAATTATAAGTAAAATTCTATCCCAACTCGTTCTTGTTTTTTGGTATTCGTCTCATATCAGATGTGTGATTTGTAAGGATTTCAATAACATTCAATAAACAGAAAAAAGATTAGGACCTGAAATAAGTTTTTTTTTTTTTTTTTTTTTTTTTTTTTTGTGATCGGGGTGTCTGGGCTAGCTTATGTATACCTCAACTAATCTCCTGGATCTTAAAGTGAACAACCGGTAAATCCTCTCAGTGACTATCCCTATTAGTGTCCAAGGAGACTTTAATTTAAAAATTCATGTTGGACTTATTTACTCTTTTATCATCATGCCACCTAAGTGATGGTTAAAAATTAAATTAAAAGAAATAAGCTGGTTCCAAAAGCAACGCAATTTTGCATTCTATTTTAATATTAAATAAATTGTATTATATTTTCAAACTTGCACTTTAAATTATTGTTATAAATAAACTTTGATCTTACCCTTTTTTTTTAATATTAAGTACAAGCTTGAAAAAGAAAAATCAACTCTAAATTAATTAATATTCATATGGGCCATGCTTTATTAAGAAAATAATATTTAATTAATTTGTTAAATGTAAGTTATTATATTCCAATGAGAACTAAAGTTAGGCTTTGGTATTCATCTATAAAGCAACCACTTTATGATTAAAAGAGTAAACGACTTTTTCTCACCCAAGGTTTGGCCTAATTATACTTTCTCACCCAAAAAGTTTTAAAATGACACTTTATTACCCACATTACTGATCCCTTAGCAAATTTCATTGCAAAGAAAAGTATGATGATCAAAAGTCCATCATAAATAAAGGTGGTCAATTAAAATTATGCATAAAAAATCAAAACTTAAAATTCGAAGTGTTTCATAACATGTCGTTGGTCACTAAACCTGGCAAACTTTGAATTGTACCCACGGGTCCACGAGTACCTGGGTAAAACGGGAGGGTACGAGTGTCTATAATATATACCCGGACTAGAATTATTCGTACTCGACCCACCCATGAAAATTACGGGAGGGTCAGGTGATACCCGCGGGTACCCGCATTTTATTAAAAAAAAAAAAAGATAAAACCCTAATTTCCTAATTTCATTTTCTGCTACCCAGCATCCATGTCGTCCAACGCCCAACCATTTCTCTTAATGCTAAACCAACACCCACGCCCAGCCAGTAGCTCTCAGTCTCAATCTCTTCTCTCCTAATTTCTTCCTTACACAGCCATTTCTTTCTCTCTCACGCAGGCGCAACCATCTCTCTCTTACGCAAGTGCAACCATCTCTCTCTCACGCACTGAACTATTTCACCCATTTCTCTCTCACGCAATCTACAAGAGTGACAATTCTCTTCTACTTTCCAAGCTATGAGCTTTTTGGCCATCTCTATGACTATAGCGCTTGTGGTCTGTTTCATGTCAATACAACGACACAGACGAAGTAGCCAAGGAGGAGAAATGGTTGTTGCCTTCATTTGATCCTAATGTATGCCTTTCTTAATTACATTCAGCAGTTTCTTTTTCTTTTTCTTTTTCTTTATAGATTTTCTTGTATGTAGATTCGGGACAGGATTATGTTATTTGGATAAACAATTTAGTGATCCCTTCTGCGCTGTCCTTGCCTAAGAAATATTACTTCTTTGTAAGGGAAGGAATCATCAAGATGGTGATTAAATGTCAACTAGGAAGGTTTCATCATATTATAATTGTTGGAAATAACATAGAATAACATATATCCTAACATTATCCCAAGATCATAGTCACCATTGCAATCACATTTGTACATAAATGAACTACAATGAATTTACACA